ATCACTGATGTTGATCAGATATTGCTGATTCTGCTCAGGAGACCGATCAAACACAAAACACACGTTCTTTACTGGACAAAATAATTTGTTTAATTTGGGCCACAATAACCAAGCAAAGTTCATTAATTCATTCATTTTCTTTTCAGCTTATTTCCTTTATTAATTCGTGGTCACCATATATAGCGGAACAAATTGCCAACTTATTCAGCATATGTTTTTATGCAGCGGATGCCCTTCTAGCCGCAACCCATCACTGGGAAACATCCACACACACCCATTCACACACACTCATACACTATAGTCAATTTTAGCATACAAAATTCACCTGTACCGCATGTGTTTGGACTGTGGGGAAAAGAGAGCACCTGGAGGAAACCCTTGCAATAAACTTATCAATTAACTTATGTAATCCCGCTGGTCCTACACCACCCAACCCAATTCAGGCTGGGATCGAACCGGTGACCTTCCGCATAGGAGTTGGTTCCTCTAACAAGGAGGCTAAAGACCATGGCCTCTAGCATCTGTCACAAGAGCACCTTTAGAGGTCAGAGGAGTGAGGTTTACCTGCACAGCACTTACTAGCTGGCCTCTGTTACACTCACCCCGCTTAACCTCACTGCCATCCGAGTCACAGCACCAATGTAACCCCGCCGGTCCTACACCAACCAACCCACTTTGGGCTGGGATCAAACCGGCGACCTTCAACATGGGAATTGGTTGCTCTCTTAAATATGTTTGTCTAAATAATGGAAATGGTTCTTGGTTTGATGTAACAAGAAACACGATGTCTTGTATAGATTTTATCTTAGTATCTGGTAACATAAGCAATTTATGTAAATGGAAAGTATTAAATAACATCGACACTCAGAGTGATCACTATATGATTTTATGCACAAATAAATTTGAGTTACAATAGATAGAATAAAAGTTTTAAATTTTTTAAACACCATTTTATAGTCAATATTATTAGCCCCTTTAAGTTATATATTTTTTTTCGATAATCTACAGAGCAAACCATCATTATACAATAACTTGCCTAATTACCCTAACCTGCCTAGTTACCCTAATTACCCTAGTGAAGCCTTTAAATGTCACTTTAAGCTGTATAGAAGTGTCTTGAAGAATATTATTAGAAATGAGTTATTAAAACTTTTTTTTTTTTTGCTGGATTGCCTTTAATTTACCTAATTAAACAAAGATAAACCAGGATCCTCCCTTAGTTATATTTCTTAGCTAGAGTTTAGTTAAAGGATCGTCTTTAGAGAATATATGTTGCAAAACAATAAATTAGATTCATACTTCACCACAGAGGGTAACTTGATGGGTTCAGGGAAATTAAGTCAATGTCCACTCCAGGGAAGATAAGTTATAAAATACACTTTTATTAATAAAATAAATCCAGTGGAAAGGTAGAATAAACAAAAGACAAATAACAGAAACAAAATCCTGACCTTATCCTCCATTGAGAATAAAGGGCAACCAACCTCAGTATACAGAAGTCAGAAAGTGCAAAGCTGGTCAGTAAAGGCTCAGATTTTATACTCTCAAAGTCAAGTCATGCCTTAACTGCACCTCATATATCAGTGAGGACTTGACATATTCAATACAAGTACACTTACACCATTTGGGTTTTACCTACTACATCAAAGCGCTAATTAAAAATCACTAAAGAAAAACTGTATAATATGGTCTGACCACTCAGTCAAGAATTCTAATAGTAAGCAAAACATATAGGTCATGCCTTATGTGAACAAATGTATAGTAGTCCCATAGGTAGGCCCACACAGAATCTGCGTGCGCAGAAATCCGCAGACTTTTTGCCCATTATTAACTCTGTTTATTTACTTGAGTACATGTGTAAATCTGAATTTATTCACTTTTTATTCAGTGGTTCATTACTTTTTATTTAATATATTAAGGTTCTAGTTATGATACTCCGCTAGATACTCCCAAAATAATTTTGCAGAAATCCGCAGATTTTTACCAAAATTCTCCGCAGAAATAGCAAAAAACGTCCACAGATATTGTCTGGCCCTGCCCATAGGTACATCTAAAAACATGAATCAACATACAAGCATGATCCTGCACATTGTTTAGACAGTTTTAAGCCATTAACGCGCTACCCGAGGTATCCCCGACCCGAGATATCCGTGCCTACGGTTTCATGACCAGAGAGTCTCAGGCCTTCAGGGTCAGCTGCGCTAGCCGTATGCAATCAGAGGAAAGGAGGTCAAAGGGAAGGTAAGAGCAGGTGAGGGTCAGAGAGAGGTAACAGCTCTCTCCCTCTCCGTTCATTAGTATTGCGCGCCCTCTTCTGGTCACATCGTGCTCTTCGCTTACACTTGACTGTTTCAGATCTGAAGTATTGGAATGTCAGAGTACAGGAGAGGTTTGTGTTTGTATGTTATTCCGCTTACATTAAAAATGGCACCATTCACCACAGTTTAGAAATGTGTTGAGAAAATCTGCTCTCCGCTTAACAGAAATTGGAGAAAGAAATAAACAAGGGGGCTAACAGTTCTGACCACTGTATATATAATGTAAAATATAGTAATATATATTTTAATATATTTTTTTTAAAAGGGCACAGACTGGTTCAAAGCTTCTGCATTCTTTATTTCAGTTATTCTTTACAACTGCAGGGTATTTGGGCCTTTTCTTTAGTAAATGAAGCTGACAGGACAACAGGAGATGGCAAAAAACTGCTGCTGCTGTGAATTAGACTGACTATTATTCATCTATTGATCTACTAATTGTATCCATTAAAAAAGTAAATGTAAACATAGTAAAAACACGCTTTAATCTGTCGAAACACATCGATCTGAAGGCGGTTGGGTTTGTAGCTGGACATTATTGCAGTTCGCTGACAGTGAACAAACAGAGTCTCGCTGAATCTTACTGTACGGCTGCACGTCTGTTATAAAACAATAGCAGAATGTTTATTTGGACAACTATGCAGATATTTTAAAGTGTTCACACAAAGAGAACACTCATAGTTTTGTGATGAGTGTAATATAATATAATAATCTGATATTGCAGTGTACGTCCTCCTTATGAAATGTAATATAAAACAAAAATCTTGGAAAAGGAAAAGAAAATCTTGAAGGGAAAAAATGTATAAATTAGAACAAGAATGGAGCTTGAAATGATTATTGGGATAGAGATACATGACTGGAGTATATGGAATATAGATGATGTTGTGTGTTTTTTTTTTTTTAACAGCACACAGTAGGTGGCGGTATGAACCTTAACAAGTTGGTTGCGATCCGCCATTAAATCAAGAAAGAATAAAGAAAGACGCCAGTGCGCACCATATGGTTCGGGAAGCACCGCTTACATCCTCTATTGATCCAGCAATCAAGTCTTTTGCTCCGGGACTCGTTGATTTGGCGTATTTGTGAAAACTGAAGAGATCATTTGTTCAATTTGATGACACACACACACAAATACAGTCGTATATTTCAGTCACTTTCACTTTCAGTTTGATCTTTTGTCTCAGAAATGAAGAAACACCAAGAGCTGATCAAAGCAAACGCTCAAAAATCCTTCTGTGAAGCGTTTCTCCTCATTCTGATGCTGATTTATGCTGGATTTTGTTCATCAGGAGACAGAAAAAGAGACAATCTTCCTGCTTAGCTTTGGAGGAGGGCAGAGCTGCTTCTTCTTCTTCAGGGTTTTACGGCAGATTTACGGCATTGTGTCTCATTACTGCCTCCTTCTGAATGAAACTAGTGTTTGAGGTAAAAGTCATTTTTAATATTAATAAATATTCTCATACTTTGTTTAACGTAATTTAAACATATTTAAGTCTTTATCTAGCTTCTAACAGGCACATCTTTCAAGTGTTAAAGCAACTATATCTAGCTAGTATAGCCAGTTTAGTGGCTACAGTTGCAGCAGCGCATATATATATATATATATATATATATATATATATATATATATATATATATATATATATAATTATTAACATTTATTAAAGGGACTAAGCCGAAAAAAAACTGTTGAACGAATTCTTATTTATGTAAAATTTATATAAATATTTTTGTTAAAATTGTTAAAAGTGAAATAATTGACCCAAATGCTGTTCTTATTAGTTCTTTTACTAGTTTGTCTTTATAAGGCCAATCCAATATATTTGATAATTTAACCAATCTACATGTACTCTGTTAACAAATAATAAAAAGGAAATCCAGCATAATGTTTTACAATGTTGTTTATTATCACATTAAATTGAGTGCTGCAATGTTCTCCCCTTTTTCTTAGATCGCCCTCCAGTGGAAAACCACTGCATTTACAAAATATTCTGAAATAGTAAAGACATGAAGCTCTTTACTGAAATCACCTTACCTTACCAATGTAATATTCACCCTAATCTCCTGATCCAAAACAAAAGAGTAAAAGTTTCAAAGCTCTTCAAAGCAGTTTATAATGTGTAATGACCTTGTCTAGGGACAAGCATGCAACATAAAAGATCACCAGACAAATGAAATTCCCTTTTGTAACCCTTTGGTGTCGGGTTTCTTTATTTGTCTTTTTCTTTTTTTATCACCCACAGACGGGAAGTTAACTACCTCAGAGTGAACCCACAGGAAAATAATAAACAGAAAGCACACTCTAACCACACCTAATAAAATAACAGAAATAAAAACACAAACTCTGCCCCTACCTCCCTGCCTAGAACAAAACCAGGAGAAAATATTTACATAAAGAAAAGTGTGGCGTCCAGCCCCGACTGCCTCTTACCATGTACAAAATTCAATATTTACAATATTAACAAACAAACCAAAAACAAAATAATAGGAGGGGAAAACATGGATGGATATACAAGGAGTCAAAACTTACACACTAACAGGGGAAGCATGATCAACAATAACACTCAGCAACAAGAATAGATTATTTATAGCACACCAAACGCACAACAACACGCCAACAAAACTCGCTCTCCTACCCCACACCCATGCTCCCCCTTTTAAAGGATGCCCTGGGTCACTCCATCCAATCCCAGGGCACGTCATCTGCATACTAGGGCAGGGCCTGCAGATGTAAAGAGCGGGAGAGACACACACACACACACCTGCCAATGCAGCAATAGATACACATTGATAAGCTGAATGTTTAATATTAACTGTTTATTAGCACTTATAAAGTGTTATATACAGAACGTTTGAATGCTTTTCATGTTCAGCATCATGTTTAATTCAATTCATCTATATATTTATACAATATAAACTGTCAAATCAGCTACACAGATGAAGAAAGAGCCCTGATGCTGCAGATTGATGATTATTCCAGCTCATCTGGCAGCTGGAGAAAGCTGCTGTAGCTCTAGATAAACTGAAACTGATTCAGTTCAGTCTAGTATACTGTAAATATCACTGTTGACGTTCATTAAATGTAAACGTCACTCCTGAAGCAGATCATTATAGCTGTTATACATTATATACTGTAGCAGAGATCACAGGCTGCATATTATCCTCCTTCTCTAAAGAGCTGATCTACTGTGAGGATAGATGGTTTGAAACAGGCAGAAACAGAGGCTGTGGATGTGACAGAAATCCACCATCCAGATCAACACCCACCCTGACAGCTTCATGTTGAGACTCGACTGCCGTCACGTCTGCATTTCTGCAATGATTTGTTTACACTCTGTCATCCAAATCCTCTTAACTGTGCTTTATACAAGCTGTCACACAATCCAGCAGTGTTGATGACTGAGACCAGTTTTCTGTTCCTCACTATAGTTTCTGACTGACACTGAGAAACTGAACTGATGAAGAACTGAATGCAGTTTCTGCTGCTGATGGTGTTTACACTGACAATTCCCCCCACTCCTGTCAGTCCCAGCAGAAGCAGCCTGATCTGATCTTTCCTCTGAGGAATCTCATCAGTCATAGCTGGAGTCTCTCCTGAAACTACAGCAGAAAGACAGCATCACTACAATATCCTCATGATGCTGAATTACATCTGAAAACAGCTCAGTCCACCTCAGTACTCCATCACTGACTGCCACATGTTGGTGTTAATCTCTCCTCTTCTGGAGTTACTCATGAGTAAAGTGTGAGCTACTGATGTTCTGTGTGCTGCATTAAACTGAAGCTGGTCAACACACCTAGAGGATCTTTAATTAGTTACATCACTTCTATTGTCCTCCTATGCAAATCACTTATATACATTTATATTTTATTTATTATGCCTTTATATCGATAAGAGCATCAGCTAACTGACTAAATGTGCAAGTAATTGCAGTTCTGTACTAATTACTTTCTAATTCCCATGTCAAACGTATACACCAGACATGAAACCGACTATTCTTTCAGATAAATATACACAAATGTTTATGATAATTGCATTTAATGGCCAAAGTATTTAAAGATTGAATTATTTTTTATTTTTTTTACATTTTGATGTTAAATCCACTATTGGTGCATAATATAGAGTTATTCCATACAGTAATACATGTAATTAAACATGAATAACTCAGTGATTTAAGTCATTCAGATATTCTAAAGTAACTGAAATAAAGAAAAACATTAGGAGTATTCTCCACTCTTTAAGCTCTATAAGTGTTTAAATGACACCCTGTGTAGATACAGGCAGAAATGCTTACAGTTGACAAGATTGTCCATACTGCTTTTCCTTTTGATGCATTTCCCTCTGTTCTCCAGCACATCATCCTGTCTGTGTCTGATCTGTGTTTGACCCTCGATAACTCCACTCTCCTGATCTATAAACCTGTTTTCTCCCAGTCTAGTATTTGCAGATGAGCTTTTTCTAGCACCTTCCCTGCCCATCACTGCATCATCTGGACTGGAGCTGCTCACAGACATCTCTGGAAAAGGCAGAACATATGAAGTCAGTGAAATCTGCAAAATAAAGCAAGCTAAACATATGTCTGCACAGTGCAAATAATAATAAATAAATAAACAGAGTATTCCACGTTTTGCAAAAATGCATGAGCACAAATTATTTCGATCTTTATTCTAATTCGTCTAGATCGGCTTACATTATATATCCAGTCAGACAAAATAGAACAAACTATACTCTAAACTCAAACTATAATACAAATAATTTCACTCAGCTCACAGCAATTGTGTAATGAACATGGATATCTAATAATACCTTTAAAACCTACAGTTGATACTGCAGGGACTGTTCGCGTGGGCGCGCCTAGTGCACCCTGTGGTTTGAATTCTGAAGTAAACAACTTCACAGCGCATGCGCGGCTGGAAACCATGAATGTAAACAAAGAAAGCTTTGTAAACAAAACCCATGTCTGCAGGTTACAATCATTACTAAAGTGCAAACGTCGAGGGAATTATTAAATCTTAAGACTTGAACACATACAAATATGCATGTAGGTTATTTAAATATATCTGCTGCTGTGTGATTCATGAACAGTCTATAAAACTTTTTTTCGTTTTCAAACAATAACTAAAATACACTTTGCATAACAGACATGGCCGCATTTTGCAGGTTAGTGTTTGCAGATCCACTATGCTTATATTGTAACTTCAACTTAATTTGATTTTAATGGTATAATGTGCACCTTTTGCAAAGCTGCTTTGAAACAGTAATTATTATAAAAAAGCAAAATACAAATAAACTTGAATTGAATTGTTCATATATTGTGCAAAACTACATGCACACAAAAAAATCAAGCGAAAAACATTAAACAATAAACAACATTATAGTACATCGAGCATATGTCATACCTTGAGCAAAATACATGACGAGAAGCAGCTTAATTTCTCCCAAAACTAAGAACGCGACTGTGTGCTCTGTTTGTTTACTTCTCGAAGCTGCGCAGAGGAGACACTTATATAAGTCTAAGGGGCGTGGCTTTGAAGGGGTCGTGTGTTTGTCTCACAGTTGTCGAGGTTACATTGCAGCCGACGAGGCTAATCATGATGAGGAGATGCTAAAAACACAGAATACGGTTAAATAAAGTTTGTGAATACTATTTCAAAATTAATCCGCTGCAAATGTTTCTATGGTTTTTACTTCACTAAAATCTGCAATATTTAAAAACGTGCAGATGAATGGGATAAATTTGTACTGTGTGTGCCGTCTCTTCGTGTCTTGTTTCTCTTTAAATTAGCAGGATTTGAACGCGGGTAACATAAGGCAGTCTAGTGATGTCGTTTCAAACATGTTTAATAACAGCTTAACTGATATTACACGGTCAAAAAACTGTCTCGCTTCCATCTTCATGACACAACTTCTTCCTTCCCGGAAGTGACATCAGCATATACTTTGTATTAAAAATTAAATTACTTTTAGTAAAATATTTTCAAGTTTGCTTTTTACATTATTATTAATTTAACAAAAAAAAAAATGAACTTATAGCTCTTATATGTACATTCAGAAAATACAAATATGAACTGTTGTTAAATATGTGACTTGCATTGCAGTTTTACACTTTAATGTATATTATAAATTGTAATTATATTTTACCCTTGTGTGTGTGTGTGTATATATATATATATATATATATATATATATATATATATATCAGAATAATTACATAGTCTCATTTATGAATAAACAATGCATCCGTTAGTGATAACATTATTTCACTCTTAGTTTGACATTTTATTTTCACAAAAGTTTCATCTGAAACATTTATAAAGACACATAATATCAATCACTTTAGTACTTTTAATTTGATGTGAAAGCTACAAAAGGTTCTTTCTACATCACATAAACATGAATATGATGTTAGTAATAAGACATTAATAATACATTTCTATAAAGCAAACCATTACAAAACTATTAATACAATGAGCTGAACAGAGAGATTAAGATTGCAGATTTACTCAGTGTGTTAGTAATTCTCTGTCAAATATAAACACAGTTTAGTTTATTGTAAGCTGGTATAAAAGGTGTAAAGATTTTCCAGTTTTAGAGCGAGTTGTTTTCAATGAAGACTCAAGAGCTTTAGTCTGAAACCCAGAACTGCTCCACCTGCTGTGGAAAAACTAATACAAAAACTTCTAATACAAACACAAACAGACAGTGCTGTAATTCTCCACACTAAAGTCCTGAATCTGCGCATTTGAGGGAAACTTGTGCTCCTGAAATGCTGCAGTGATGCTGCTGTGATTTCTGCCTGTTTGTGTTGATCTTTATTCCTGAAGGCTCTTTTTCTTCTTCTGCACACATTAAGCTCTTCTGCTGACGGCGGCGTAAGTCACTGAGTCATTACCATCATCATCCTGAGAAACAGATTCAGCTCATCATCATCATCATCATCATCATCATCATCATCATCACACACACACACACACACACACACACACACTGGTTGTGCTGAATCTACTCACACTGGCTGATTTCTCCGGCTTTTTCCCAGCACAAGTGACCTCAGAATAAGTGACTGAATCCTCCGTCTGCTCCTAAACACAATGCAGAAGAGCAGAATCAAGCTGAATCCACTCAATCCGCCTGAAGATGTGGAGAAATCACTGAACTTACAAAACGTGCAAGACGTACAAGAAGTTACTGAACTCACCGCTGATTCACCGCTCGCTCTTTGATGAGCTGCTGAGGATTGAGGAGAAAACACAACAGAAAGTCTACTGGTTTCCATTACAGACAGCATTAAAAGATCCCAGAGCATCAGATTTGAGGCATTAAAAGCAGCACATTGTCCTGGTTTGTGCTGTGTTTGGCCACATTCTCCATTAGGATTGACTGCTTTTAACAGGCCACCAATAGAAGGCAGAAAATGAGGCACATGAGCAATAGAGTCTCCATTAAAAGCAATGGAATCTCCATTGTGCGCATTGTGAGCAGTAGTTTGCCATGAGCTCTTCTTCAGTGGTGTTTTGTTGTTTGCTCAGGGATCAGGAATGTTGCTCTTGTTTTCTGCTCATTAAAGTCAAGTGTTTGTAATTGGAGTAAATGTGAGACTCACCAGCTCTTCTTCTGCGCTGGATCAAACACAGAACAGCAGCGATGAAAACAGCCAAAGCAGCAGCAGAAAGCAGAACTGAAAGCACTGAACAACAGAAGCACTCAGTCAGATAAAGAGCATTCAGGACCAGAACACACTAACTCAACACTGAACACTGAAGATGATGATGATGATGATGATGATGATGATGATGCTCTGACTATAAACTTAGTTATTATTCACACTGGGAGGAGGATGATGATGGTGATGATGATGATGATGATGGTATGATGATGATGATAATGGTGATGATGATGATGAACGCCGCATTCAGCAGCAAAGTGGGCCTTATTGGTGAGTTTTTCTGCTTGTGGCCAGCAGATGTCCTCAGTGCAGCATTTATAGTCAACTCACAAACACTCTCTCTCTGTCTCTCTCTCTCTCTCTCTCTCTCTCTCTGTCTCTCTCTCTCTCTCTCTCTCTCTCTCTGTTCATCTCATTCTGAATGTTAAGCAGTATCTTCATCTATATTGTTATATGCTTCTTGTGATCGACAAAATATCTTGAATGATCTTAATGCACATATTTTGGTTAAAAGCAGACAAAACTATTATGGGAGTGACATCATCAATTACATCAATGACATCATCTTCATCATCATTATCATCATCTTCATTATCATCATCATCCTGTATCTGTTATATGATCTGGTTTTGTAGTTGTCAATAATGTTACAGAATCAGGTTATGAGAGTCGTTCATAGTTTAATTAGTAAAAATATTTCTGATATCTCATGAATACTCAATAAATAATAACTCATAGTAAAGCACTGGTGTCTGTGAGAGTGTTCAGACCTGCTGATGAAGATCCTGCTGCTTGTGTTGTTGTGTTTGTGTTGTGGTCTGGAGTCGCTGCTGCTGCTGCTGCTGTTTGAGCTTCAGCTGTAAAAGATGAACGTTAATATGAATCATAGCAGAACAGTAAGTTAATAACTCGTCAACACACACTATAACCTTTAGGCGTTTCATCTGTTTTTTCGGCTTGTGGTTTCGGCTCTGCTTTAGTTTTAGGATCTGGAGCTGTAAGAGAAAACAAAACACACAGAGTAGAGATGTCCTGCTAAATAATAATAAGTGATGGAGGTTTATAAATATAGGTCAATCATAGATTAATCAGTCAGAAACACTCCAGATAACTCTATAATACTCATAATAAAGCTTAATAACTCATAATACAGCACTGATGTCTGTCAGACAGTGTTCAGACCTGGTGAAGCAGCTTTTGGGTTTTCTATTTTAGGGTTTGTGTTGTGAAGTGGAGTCACTGTTGTTGTTGTTTTAGCTGTAAAAGATGAACGCTATCAAATCAGGTTTATGGATATAGGTCAATCAAAGTTTATTTAGTCAAAAACACTTCAGGTAACTCACAAATACTCATAATAACTCATAATAAAGTGATAATACAGCATTGATGTGAGGCAGTGTTCATACCTGCTTTTATTGTGTTTGTGTTGTGTTCTGGAGTCACTGCAGCTGCTGCTCCTGTTCTTGTTGTTGCTGATGTTGCTGTTGTTGTTGTTGTTGTTGTTGTTGTTGTTGTTGGTGTTGTTTTAGCTTCAGCTGTAAAAGATGAAGGTGAATATGAATCACACAGTAGCAGAACGTCAGTTTAATAACGGGTCAACACACACTATAACTCTAGTATTGTGCAGTGATGTGAGAGAAACACTGCTCCATTTTTAGTTGTTTTTGTTTGTGGTTTCGGCTCTGCTTTAGCTGTAAGTTCTGTAGCTGTAAGAGATGATGGAGATGATCATTCAGCTCAATCACACTCCACTAAATCACCATCACGTTTCAACTTTCACCAATTTTTGTCCTTTATTTTTTGTTGTTTACTTTATCAGCTTTACTGCTTGTTTGAAATAGAGCTGTTGATAAATTCAAATTATGTTTAAAAAAGGATGGACCTGGATAAATATTGGATTAAGATGATGAGGGAGAGACTGAAAGTGAACAGAAGACACAAATCACTGATCATGAGCTGAAACACAGAATTCAGCCCTGATTAAACTGAACACATGAGGAGGAAATTACCAGCAACAACTTGCAGAAACACATGTGAATCAGCTCCATACTGGTGTCCTCCTGGTCCACTCCACTGTTGGCAGGTGTAATATCCAGCATCTTCTGTTGTGACTCTACTAATGGTCAGAGAGCAGTCAGAGCCCAGATTCAGTCTCTCTGAGTTTGTCTTCTTTACCCCTAAAGTAATCAGTTCAACTGCTGCTGTCTGTGTGTCTCTGCTGTAGATCCATGTAGTTCCTGATGTGCTGCAGTACTGATCAGTGTTTCTACAGGGCAGATGAACAGTTTCTCCAGAACTGCTGGACACAGGAGTATGTTCTGCTCCAAACACACCTGAAACACACAGTATTTAGTGTTATACTGCACTCTTTCATGTTTTCTTGCAGGCAGAATAGAAAATAAATCTTGCAGGGGGTTGCACTAATTCTTTAGTCTACTATCGGGCGACAAATATTCCCAGCATTCATCACACTACAGCCAGTGGGTTCCAATATGGGTTGAAAGGGACTGTAATTCTTCAACCCAAGTATCTTAGCATGCATTACTGTGCTCTTCATTACCAGTAAATACATCAAACCAATAATAATACATTCATTTTCACATCTATGAACAACTACTACTATAGAACTTACAGGTTACAATTAAGAATACATTTTGGTTTTCAGACAATGTCAAGCCTGTCTCCTATAAGTAAAAATGTCTTTCTTGCTCTTTATCTCAGACCAATCCTTGATAATATTGTTTAGAAGAGGGATTGTAAGTAAAATGATCTTTTTGTGATAACACACTTTATATTTCACTTTATATTATTCATCCTAATTATCTGAAAAATTGAACCTTCCCAAAACTTCTTTTTTCAACATCTCCAGAATCAGGAATTCATCAGAAATACATTTTCTCTCTTCCCTCACGCACCTCTTAAACAAGAAAATGCTCATTTTACAAGTCTCCTAGAGTTAAGCAGATGACTCAAACCATTTTATAAACCATTCTGTCGATTTCTTGTTTTGGCCTGGTCACTATTAGCTTAGCTTAGCATTAAATATTAGCATTTCATTCAAAAAATTTGAAAAAAAAGTTTTGATAATGTTTTACTATTTAAAGCACAAGCCCTCTGTAGTTACATGTATGTCCCCCGCACTTTTAGGCCCCGTTTACACTGTCAGGTCTTGATGCCCAATTCCGATTTGTTGCCTATATCTGATTTGTTTGCCTGTCTGTTTACACGTGGTTTTATTGTGACACATATCCAGTTCATGTGTTTACACTTGCCATACAATTTACAATGTCGCGCATGCATAAAGGCAGATTCTAGCATCTGTGCCATGATGATATGTATAATCCATTAAGGAATAATATTGTTCTGTTTGCGTCTAAACATTGCGACCATCCACACAAAATATTCGTATTATTTTGTTGCTGTTGTGGATATTTTCTCAAGTTGTCATTAAACGTGGAGCTAACAAATGACTAGATAAAATAAGAATTTAATCGGTTGTCATCAGTAAAACAAGCCGAGTCCTTGCCAGAAGCGGCCCGGACTCTACACACAGACTCGGGCCAGATATGGTTAACAGGAATCATCACAAACGGATGTGCGTGAGCGAGCTGTGGGCCATACTCGGATAACACTCGCAGATGCTCGAGCTGGGGCCGATTACTACCTGCTATCTGGGACTAGCTACGATGGAAGAAACTGTCTTGTTTTTAGCTTTGCGAAATATGTGAAGTGTAGTGTAAGCAGTGAATGGATCAGTCCAGATTCACCCCTACGCAGTTTATGTAATGGTATGGCCCTGATGTGTGTGTGCGTGTAGTTGAAGATGTAGCCTTTGCCTGTGTGCGCACTGCTGTTGGAGAGAATAAAGTTGCTCTCTGTGTAGCCCGCAGTGCGTGTGTTATTACCGACAAAAAGCAAAAGTTACAACACGAAGTTCGCCCAACTTTAAAATGATTTTCAGGCGGAGGTGGGAAAGGGCCATCATCGGAGCTTGCGCTTATGGTTTTTGTGCTGTATGATGTCCTCCACCATTCAGAGGAATGAATGTAAGTATGAGAGAGATCTCAGGTCTGGTGGGAGCAAATTGTGGCGACTGACCACTTTCCTCCTCTGTGTTTCCTCTGATGTTGTTTACCGCGTCGGCATCTCCACACACGCTCTTCTCTCTGTCATTAAACCGTGGAAAAGCAGCACATTGTCGCAAGTTTAATGATGTACAGAACGAAACACCTCAGTAAATCCGATCTGCCTGTTTACATGACAGTCGCATTGTCACATATCCGATCTACATCTGATTTATTTCCACATATGAAGGAGGCCTGAAACCCATCTCTGAATATCCCAATGCATGTTTTTTTTCGTGTTTACACGGTCATTGAATAGATCCAATATGTGTCACATATGAGCAAAACATCGGAATTGGGTCACATTTAACTGGCAGTGTAAACAGGGCCTAAGAGATTGACCATTTAGAAACAGCTGATTAATAATTATATGAATGTAAACTTTTGGATCTTGATCAGCCGTACCTCCCACTTTTAAAATGTCCGCTAGGCCCCTAAAAACAACAGATTTACAAACCAAACTTTTCTGCTTGGTTGTCTTAAGCTTAGCTAATAGGGTATATGCCGAAGCATACTTATAGGACTTTTATTTGCCAGTAACCTGGGTTAATCGTTTCCGGTGAATTGTATGCCAATGAAAATCGGCACGTTTAAGGTCTGTTTTCTTTCAAAATCAGCGATCTCCACTGGGTGAGTGATATTTAATATAAAGTGGGTCTCAGATTGTACAAGAAGCACTGCATTACATTACATTTCCCCCGCCATGTCTTTATAAAATTATCATTTATTTTACCCCAGTATATTCAATGGAGCTTCTGCGCTAGCCTGCCGATTCTGACGGGCGCATGCGAGCAAACGACTTTTTGTCTCGTTTTACGCTTGAGCAACTAAATGAATGCCAAAGTCTATTTAACTGAATGTATTTTAATGACATTACAACATCGATGCTGTAAAAGGAACTGTATAAAATGGAAAAAAATTCACAATAACAGGTCACCGGAAGTTTATCAGTATGGGAAACACACTAGCTCGGCATATACCCCATAGTGAACCCACCAGGACAAGACCTTGGTTGAAAGGTTTAAAAAACTCTAGGAGACTTGTAAAAATAAAAAATGCTGCAGTGTTTCTTTAAAATGAGGTTTGCTTTCTTTTCTCGTGACGTTGCAGCAGAACAATAGCATAAACTACTATCTTCTCATATACAAATAGGTTTTCAGTGTTGAACTCTACCAATGTGAGTTTAAATAATAATTTACATGACATTTATTGCCATACTGAATGCAGCAGATAGTCCAGCTTAGATCTAGAAAATTAAATAACCAGCAGATAGTTTGGAAATGAAAGTCAGAACTGTGACCAACAACATCACTCAGAGCTTATTAATAATGTTAAAGAGCTTTAATATGTATTAATGAGATTAATAGCCTTCACCATTTCATTGGGAGTTCAGTGCAGACAAACAAACTGCCTGTAGCTGAAATCATCACTTTGCGTGTTGATAGGACTTGTGTAAAGTCTTACAATTACACACACTGCTAGAAAGACGCAGTTTTTAAGTTTTGAGTTTTAAAAGTCAATACAGCACACATTAAACAAATATCAGAGCGTTCAGGAATAAAACAGCCGGTCATGATTCTGACTGATTCTCCAGTTTAGTCAAACTCTCGTGCAGAATAATGAGCTGAAGTGCTGAGTTTATAATCTTGTAGATGATGAACAGCAGTGTTTACCTGTGCTGAGTGTCCAGAAGATGAGCAGCAGAAACAGAGGACTCCTATCAGCCATTCTGTGTGTCTGACACTCGTCTTCTGCTTTATATATATATATTTATTCAGCTCTTCCTGTGTGTCTGCAGCTTCCTCTCAGTGACACGTCCCTGTTTTAACTCTATAATGGACACTGAACACTTTCATACCGCTGTATTTTAATGACGAAGAAGTTACAGAAGAAAAGTCAGTAACACTCAAGCTTGTGTTTCTCTGATAATATCAGGAACTACATTAGTATCATATGATGTGAATATTTCATCTTTACGCTGAGTCGTCTTCTTACATGTTTTCCTCATTCATAGTCTAAATTTGAACTATTTTAATATGATTATTTTTTGTTTAATCAAGCACACTCTTAAACTCAAGCTTTACAGTGGAGTGTAATTGCAGTTACAGCAGACTCAAGACTTTCCTGCAATACTGTGATGTCTGATATACTGACACACACACAGATCCTACAGTGAGCTGATCCTGCATCAGTTCTGCTGATTTCAGAGCTGTGGTCTCGCTCTTCTGGTTTGGATCTGTTGTTCTGCTGACTGTGGGAACTCAGTTAGTTTGACCACACTGGTTTAACCCACATTCAGCAGTGTCTGGTCAACCAGTTTAGCTGATGGTGTGAATCTTTCTCTCACAGCTCCTCTGGGTTCCTCTTTCCATGTGCTACTACAGGCCATCTTTACAGTTAACCACAGCTCAACACTTGTTTGATGGATCAGTTTTTCACACAATATTATCTGAAGGCCTGATAACTCAGTGCTCACGCTATCTGACCAGTGTTAGTTCTGGAGTGTCCTGTCCAGAGCCCCTCTCTAAACCCTGTTACTGTAGTCTAGACAAAACACTGCTTCTGATATCTGGAATATCAACAGTGACTCAAGGTGGTCGATCATTCTCACATCATTAGCTAAACTCTGGATCAGCCTTCCTAGCTCAGTTCTGGAGTCAGACACACTCTGTCAGTGTAAAACTAGACTAAACACACATCTCTCTGCATTAGCATACACATTTAACACAAACACAGAACTTTTGAAATCCAAATCTTCTAAAGGATTGTTAGGCTGCATTAATTAGGGCAACCAGAGACGGGAACACTTTCCTTAAGACACTCTACACCAAATAGCATCTTGATCCTTGTCAACTATGGTTTTACTCATATTTAAATGGGTCTTCTCCATTTACCCCTTTAAATGTACACACACGTTTTTGATGAAGTTTTTACATTTACATTTAGTCAATTAGCAGACACTTTTATCCAAAGCGACTTACAAATGAGGACAAGGAAGCAATTTACACAACTATAAGAGCAACAATGAAGAAGTGCTATAGGCAAGTTTCAGGTCTGTAAAGTCTAAGAAGGAAAGTATTAGTACATTTTTTAGTAACTAAGTAATTTTTTTGTAATTTCTTTGTAAAGTTTTATTAATTTTATTTATTTATTTTTTTTGGGTACAGTTAGTGGTATATCCAGAGAGGCAATTGCAGATTAGGAAGTGAAGTGGAGACTAAATAGTTGAGTTTTTAGTGGTTTCTTGAAGACAGCGAGTGACTCTGCTGTTCTGATGCAGTTAGGGAGTTCATTCCACCAACTGGGCAGATTGAGCGCGAGGGTTCGGGAAAGTGATTTCTTCCCTCTTTGGGATGGAACCACGAGGCGACGTTCATTCACAGAACGCAAGTTTCTGGAGGCACATACATCTGCAGAAGTGAGAGCAGATAAGAAGGAGCAAAGCCAGAAGTCGCTTTGTAAGCAAACATCAGAGCTTTGAATTTGATGCGAGCAGCAACTGGCAGCCAGTGCAAACGGATGAGCAGTGGAGTGACATGTGCTCTTTTAGGTTCAGCTAGTAGAGAGTTGCAGTAATCCAGTTTGGAGAGAACAAGAGCTTGAACAAGGAGTTGAGCTGCATGTTCAGATAAGAAGGGTCGGATCTTTCTGATGTTGTAGAGTGTGAATCTGCACTATCGAGCAGTTCAAGAGATGTGGTCAGAGAAGTTTAGTTGGTCATCAACTGTTACTCCAAGGCTTTTCACCATTTTGGATGCAGTAATGGTTGCCCCATCCATCTGGATTGAAAAGTTTTGGTGAAGAGTCGAGTTGACAGAAACTACAAGCATTTCTGTTTTTGCGAGGTTCAGCTGAAGATGATGATCTTTCATCCAGTGTGAAATGTCCAACAGGCAGGCTGAGATACGAGCTGGAACCGAGGGATCATCAGGATGAAAAGAGAGGTATAGCTGGGTATCATCAGCATAGCAGTGGTAGGAGAATCCATGTCTCTGGATGACTGGTCCTAGAGATGATGTGTAGATGGAGAAGAGAAGTGGCCCAAGAACAGAGCCTTGAGGTACCCCAGTGTTTAGATGCTGTAGGTTGGACACCTCTCCCCTCCAAGACACCCTGAATGACCTGTCAGAGAGGTAAGAAGAGCACACACACACAAACTGAGAATACACCCAGACCAGTGGGAGCAATTAAGGGTTCAGTGCATTGCTGGGTATTGAAGATGGAGAGAGTGTGATTAATTTACTTCCCCTATCGTTAAATCCTGCTTTGCCCAATAGTTTGAGCCAAACTGGCCCCTGATTGAGCATGGTTTCTCCAAAGATGTGTGTGTGAGCATAGTCATGTGTCTGAAAAAAGCCTACTGCAGTGTGTAGGGAGGGTCTGAGAACCGTGGAAGCAGAGTTTGGCTGAATATCAATAAGAATCACCTGTGCACCACACCTGTGTCTAGTGAGAGGACAAAGGACAAAGCCTGGGATGAAGGGGGAATGTGCTGTCTGAGATCTCTTGCCACTGGAGGATTGAGATTTTGCCATTATGTACTTTTAAGATCAACTCTGTATGACTGACATCGGTGCCAACAACCTACTGCCAGGATGTCAAACTCAATTCCTGGAGGGCCGCAGCTCTGCACAGTTTAGTTCCAACCCTGCTTTAACACTCTTACCTGTAGGTTTCAAACAAGCCTGAAGTACTCAATTAGTTTGGTCAGGTGTGTTTAATTAGGGTTGGCCCTCCAGGAATTGAGTTTGACATCCCTGGCCTAGAGGTTAAGTGCATTGACACTAACGGTGAGCTGAGTTTGATTACCATCTCTAAGTTCTTTGACGATTCTTCCCAATCAATACTCATCTCTTTCCTATCCACTAGAAGGTTTTATTTAAAAAGTCTAGGATGAAGAAATCACTACCGTTGTCCAGAGGCTGAGATAGAGCAAGGAAAACGGATAATTGATGCTTAGTGTGACCTGCCGACAGTGTGCTTTGGAGAATTTGATGTTGTTTTACTCTTCACTACTTTGGTTTATTGTTTTTCTTCTCTAATTTTTTCCCCCTCCTGTCTCTCCTCATTCTTCAATCTCCTTTTCTCTTGCCGCCTCTAATATTGTCCATGTCTTGTAGCCATTATGACTTCAACCTCTGGTTAGTGCAGAAGTAGGCACCATTTTGGGTATCAATAAGCATCACCTGTGCACCATACCAGTGTCTAATCCCACTGAGAAACACTGAGAGGATAAATAGAGGAGGGACGGCAGAGGACCAGGCCAGGTGTTGGAGTTATGTTTATGCAGCTGTTGTCCATGTATCATCCACAATTTAGTTTGGTTTTATATTGATATTAATATAATTATTAAAGTATGTTAAATGTTCATTGGTTCCCGCCTCCTCATTATGTTATAAGGGTTTTACTTCATTACATCTATGCAGAAATGTGGCCCAAATCCAGATTTAATCACAAAGGTGAACAGAAACCTCAGGCAGAACACTAGAAGATGCATTTGCAAGGGATTCTTGGGTCATTTGGAGTTTGTACTTTGAGTTAAGAAACTCCAGAAAGTCTTAAGACTTTTTCATAGCATTTTCATGACTATATCCTTGACAAAACACTATTTTAGGTTAGAATCTTTATATTTTCATTTTAAGAAGACTTGGAGGTATACCTAGGGTGGAAAAAAACTAAGGCAAGGGACTTCATTAAGATTTAACCCAGTGTTTTTATTATTAAGTGTTTTACTGTAGTTTCTGGCAACACATGGCAGTGAGTGCTGTGCTTTCTATAGTTACTGCATCTCAAGTTACAAATGTGCATGAGGTGCAGGTCATTTATTATAGAAGAAAAGGCCAACAGTAGCTTCTACTACAACAACCTACTACATTTTCCTGTCTGATATTTGGTGGCAGCTTATTAGGAAGTGAGATTATATTTTCCTTTAAACATCACAGAAATCAAAAACATAAACCAAAGAGAATGAAAGCATGTTGTTTTAGATAAATAAGCAGAAATAAATAACACTCTTCAAAATTGCTTTAAGCCTCTGACAGCAGATGAAGTGCAAAGAGGCAAGGCTTTCACACACACTGTAGGAGGAAAGGTTGAGTTTAGACCTGTTGTTGGTGTTAGTTTGACCACACTGGTTTAACACACATTTAGCGGTGGGGCGTCAACTATACGCCCGTTTAGACTGATGGTGTGAATCTTTCTGAGTCAGTTCCTCTTTCTATGAGCTGCAGCACGTTGGTTCGCCCCTCACCACACACATCATGTCAGAGTCACTTGAAGTCATCTGGCCATATAGAGTCATGTCTATTCCTGAGTGCTTTAACAAGACTAGGCCACATATGACTAAATATGATGATAGTATGAGTGATAACACTATCGCCACACTAACACATAACCCTGATGATTAATCTGCTGAACAGCAATATAAATACTAAACAGATCTTTATCTAAATGATCAATGTTAGTGTTGTCAGTGCATGCGTGACATTATAAAATAGGGTGCATATTATAATAAAGTGTGTCCATATTTACAACTGCTAAAACACAATATAAAAACATGACTGAGCACGAGAAAGTAGGTGCAATTTTAATTTCCTTCAATTTACTAAAATTTTGCATTGAATTTTTCCAGTTGTGGATAGGTGGCAGTAAAAAATGTTGTTACCACATTGTCCAGTCATTCATCCATCAATTGCCTGCCATTTATCCGGCGCTGGGTATATCTGAGAATTTGACCCAAAGCTCATGACCATAGGTGAGACTAGGAAAGTAGTTTGACTGGTAAATTGACAGCTTTGCCTATTGGGTCAGCTCCTTTACCACAATGGACCAATACATTGACCACATACACTGCCACTGCATCGATCTGCCTGTCAATCTCATGTTCCATCCCTCCCTCACTCCTAAAGAAAACCCCAAGATAATTGAACTCCTGTGGTAAAGATTCTCCTCCAATCTGGAGATGGAAGGCCACATTTTCTGGATGAGCACCATGGCCTCTGACTTGGAGGAGCTGATTCTCATTCCTGCCATGTCACGCTTGGCAGCAAACCGCCCCAGTGCATGCTGGAGGTCTATGTCCAATAAAGCCAACAAAACAGCATCATCTGTAAATTACAGAGATGAAATCCTGTGGTCCATCCAGACCCCCTGAGACTCATAGGCTGCTTCTAAAAATTGTGTTTGTAAAAATTATGAACAGAACTGGTGACAAAGTGCCGCCCTGCCAGAGCCCAACATGCACCAGGAAGTCTGACTTACTGCTGGCAATGCAAAACAAACTCCTGCTCTGTTTATCCCTTAACAGAGCGCTTCTGTTAATTCCCAGAGCACCCCCACAGAATCCCTTCACCAATTCCACAAAACACACATGGAGTGGTTGGGCACCCTTAAGCACCCTGGCGAGGGTATACAGATGGTCCAGTGTTCCACGGCCTGGACAAAATTAGCATTGTTTCTTTGGGACCAAAGGTTCAACCATTACAGATCCTCCTATCCAATACCCTGGCATAGACTTTTCCAGGAACCTGAAGAGTGACCCCCCCATAGCTGGAACACACCCTCTGGTGCTCTTTCTTAATAATGCGAACCACTCCAGTTGCCCAGTCCAGAGGTACTGTCACCGACCTCCACGCGATATTGTAGAGACGTGTCAGCCAAGACAATCTACAACATCCAGAGATCTGAGGTACATATGGTATCATCCTCCCCTGCTGCTTCGCCACTGTGGTGAACTAATCTCACTAATCTCCCTCAGTGAATTTAGCTTGGCTCCATCCCTGCATCTCCAAACTCTGCTTCCTCAATGTGAATGGGATTGAGAAGATCTTCAAAGTATTCCTTTCACCATTAGACAGTGTTCCCCTCTTCTGTGGTAAATAGTGTTGTTGTGGAACTGCTTCCCCTCATGAGGCGCTGGACAGTTTGCCAGAATCTCTTTGAGGCCGACCAGTAGTCTTCCTCCATGGTTTCTCTGAACTCTTCCCAGGCCTGAGTTTTTGCTTCGGCAATCACCGGAGCTGCAGCATGCTTGGCTTGTCAGTACCCATCAGCTGCCTCAGGAGTCCCGCAAGCCAACCAAGCCTGGTGAAGTCCTTCTGCAGCTTGACAACATCCCTTACTTCTGGTGTCCACCACCAGGTTGATGGATTGCCATCTCGACAGGCACCACAGGCTTTACAGCCACAACTCTTAATGGCTGCTTCATCGATGGATTCAGAGAAAATAGACTACTCTGTCTCAATATCTCCAGCCTCCCTCAGGATCTGGTCAAAGCTCTTCAGGAGGTGAAAGTTGAAAATCGCCATTTTTTTTACAATGCAGTAAGTTTTACAGTAAGTCTAACTTCACCCATTGTCCAGGCTCCGCCCCCTCAGGTCAGATCTACAGCTCTAACAAAGTCCAATAAAGCAAGTTATTTCACCCGCTGGCCATCTTTGAAAACATACATCAGGCATCTCCTACACCATTGGTCACCAAACTTGTTCCTGGAGGGCTGATGTCCTGCAGATTTTAGCTCCAACCCTAATCAAACACACCTGAACAAACTAATCAAGCTCTTACTAGGTATACTTGAAACATCCAGGCAGGTGTGTTGAGGCAAGTTTGAGCTAAACCCTGCAGGGACACCGGCCCTCCAGGACCGAGATATGTGACCCCTGTCCTACACTTTTGAATAAAGAAACACTAAATTCTCTAAAACTGTACAATAATCTCAAGATAAAATGTTATATGTTTGAAAACACCAATGAAAAAGTTTATGTAATGTGCTTTTTCATACTAGCAGCCAGTAAACATCGTAAATTTGAGTATATAGTTACCAGAGTTGTCAATACCTCAACGCCTTTCATTATCTCTACAGTGATGTGATGATGTCACTTCTCAGTGGTTGGATCTCGTATTGAGACGGCAGGGCTTATTCTCAGTTTGGGTTGTTACACTTTTTTTGTAAATGAAATGCCCCCTTATTTAACTATTCCCTACATTAGTCCACTAAGACAGTCCACTTGGAGGAGTGAATGAACCGAGTGAGTGAATTTGAGCACTCAGAGGACTGAAGGGACGCCGTTTGGTTTGTGTTTAATGATTTTAAACTTAAACTAATAGCATTGTGCTTTAGATGTCATCTTGTGGTCATGTGTGGAAATTCAGTTGGCATGTGAACTCAGTGCATTATGGGTAGTCTCTTGCTGTTGAATGTGCATCAGTCGCAGATTTGTTATTGCAGTGTATTGTGGGATTGATTGAGCACTTACAGACCATTCACTATGGTTTTGGACAACATTACAAATGGCTACTTTCTCAAATAGTGCACTATTAAGGATATGAAGCCTTTCTTTTCCATTCATAAGTAATAGAAGGGCATCATCTTCCTCCACAGTAAATACAGTTTTTAGTTCAACGCACACACACGCACATACATACATATACCCCAGTCTAACCAGCAGGGCATTTAAACCTCTGCTCACACTATGGGATTTCAGCCACGATTCGTTCATCGTTCATCAGACAAATTTGACAAACTTCCAAGGCTAAAATCTCTGATCTATGTTCGTTGGTTTGACATGTTTACTGACAGCCGATAATTGGCCATTGCGATCAGATTGACCCTCAGATGAAGTTCTAGCAGACTCCAGACTCTTTCCTGCAGTGTGATTCAGCTGTGATGAGTGTCAAACCAATTGGAATCTGATGACGCAGTACACACAACAACCTCAAACCACCAGGGGGAAGTCAAACGTTTTTTCTTTCTGGTTTAGTTATTGAGGCACACTGTATGCACAATTGCCACTGCAGATTGTTTATCGCCACTGCAGATTGTTTATTGCCACTGCAGATTGTTTGCTGTGAGGAATCATTTTAAAAAGTGGAATAGTGAAAGCATTACACGGGGCGTCAGCGCTTCTTTTTCACTTTAAATAGGTCATGTCAGACGTTGCAGAACTGCATTGTGGATCTGTCGGCACCGCTTTAGTGGCGTTGCTCGCTGCAGAAGTTGGGACTTTCTCAACTTTCCTAGTGTAAGCCAATCAGATCGCTGTATGCAGATACACCAGCTCAGACAGTAGCCGATTGCTGATTAATTTCATTGAGGCGGCAGCTAACTCTCTGCAACTCTCACATGGCACACTGAAGCTACACCCGCTCAGTACCTGGATGGGAGACCACATGGGAAAACTAGGTTGCTGCCGGAAGTGGTGTTAATGAGACCAGCAGGGGGCGCCCAATCTGTGATCTGTGTGGGTCCTAATGCCCCAGTATAGTGATAGGGACGTTTAACCGAGATCCTGACTCTCTGTGCTCATTAATAATCGCAGGATGTCCTTGGTAAAAGAATAGGGGTTTCACCCCGGCATTCTGACCAAATCTGCCTACTGGCCTCCGTCCCTACTATAATTGGCTTCATCACTGTCTCCTCTCCACCAATCAGCTGGTGTGTGGTGTGCGGTCGGGCGCAATGTGGCTGCCATTGCGTCATAAAGATATACACTCGTGGTGGATGAGATTTCTCCCAATGTGTAAAGCGCTTTGAGTATCTAGAAATGCGCTATAGAAATGTAAGGAGTTGTCTAATTGTTATTATTATTATTTTGATTGGCTGACGCTGCTATGACGATCGTGTCAGCCATAACTTCAGACACCCCCTATGTCATGCACTCTGACCCCGTGTGAATCAGGTGTAATGGATGAGTTTTCCTCCATGATTGTAGCGTCTTCATTGTTGTTCAGTCTGGCATTATAACAGCTGATATCTTACTAAGTGATATAGGAGTCAGGATCACGCAGTTTAAGATTATTAAAAATCACACAGTATGAGCTGGTGTTCTTTAGATTTGTCCTACCTTTTCAGATTGTCCTACCTCCCATTCAAAAAGTAGGTAGCACATTTTGATGACGCAACATGCAGACTTCCCAAGTCTCCCGGAAGTTGTGGGAGTATCTCGCAAATGCATAGACACTCCCGGAGGCCCGCAAATAAACCATAATCTCCCGGAAATCGCGCGTCTCCCGCCCGGTCCTTAAACACGTTGCACACCCCTCTCTCCACTGCATCCCTCCTAGCTCTTCAGGAACATCACGCGCAACTCACCCCCACCGCTCTTCAGGTATGTCGCGTTACGCGTATCTCCCGCAAATCAACTCTGTATCCCCCGGAAATGACTTTTTCCAACTTGGGATGTCTGCAACATGCTTCCCATCAGATTTTGCTACTAGTGTAAATTGTAATGTGGAGTAGTGTGATATGAAGCTTTAATATCGCCCTAACCTGCCTAATTCATCACCCCAACCTCAGAACCATTCAGATACAGTGCTGTAGCACAATCTGAAGGGTACGATAAAATGTCACAGTTAAAGACAGAAGAGATTTAGGTGTTGGGGATGCAAGACTGTGTGTGTGAGTGTGTGTGTGTGTGTGTGTAAGATGTGCTGAAGATGTGTGATCTCACTGATGATTGACACCTGAAGCACATGTGCTCCTCTACTGCCGTCTGCTGGCTCCTCATGCACACTGCAGTCTGGCATTTAGCAAACCGGCTCTGGAAGAGGAATTTAGTCCTCTAAACCCCATTTAGGTCCACTATGAAGAGAAAAAGAAACATTTCCTTTCGACTGAGGAAAGAAAACAAATTACTAACACAGAAAAGCTAAGAAACAAACTCATCAACACAATAAAGCCAATACCAAAACATCATTCAGCACCATAAAGTACATTTATTCAGTTTCCCAATGTTTAAAATCTCTTACATGCTTACATATTCCAATGAATTTATTTATACATATGTTCATTTAGCAGATGATTTTATCTAAAATTAATTATGAATGAGGACAACAGAATTTATCAAATCGATATACAAACAACATGTAGGCTGTGACGAGTCTCTGATAGTCCAGTGTAGTGTGCAGAGCAGGGGGTTATAATAATACAAAGTGCTAAAACTGTTAGTGTTAGATTTAAGTCTTGAAAAGACTTCACCATATTTGACCATATTTGGCTTTTTCTTCAAATGAACCTTCTTGTTTCTTGTATTTTACATCAGCATTTTTGTCTCTGCTTTGCTTTAATTAAATCGTGTCTGATTAGATTGTGTAGTCCAAATAAAAAACATCACAATAATGTGTCATAAGTGAAAAAAAAAACAAAGCAAACAACAAAATATCACATCTGTGACGGAGTGAGAATAACATAATCAGTCCTGCGTATATATAAATCTTACAGCTGATTATATCACAAGCAGTTTAAGTGTTTAAGTCAATGTAAGTGTAATGCAGAGACTACTGTAAAATATGATCACAGTATACAGACTGAGACACAGAAGCTCCCATAAGCAGCAGATAGCAGTAAAGATGCCTCCAGCTTTGACTTGATCATATTAGGCTTCAATATTATCATTAGCATGAAAACCTGAAGGAAGGCTCATTTGTCTGATCATGACTGAATCCCTCACATAACTTTACACTTCTGTTTGGCTAGTTTCTGTGTAGCTATAATTGCAAGTTTAACAGCATTTCCATGACTGACTCCCATCCTCTTAGCCTCTGCAATGGCAGCCTCTTTCTCCTCACTGGTCACTTTTAACATCGCCTCATGTTTTGCTACAGATGTGGCATAATGTTTTAAAAACATATCAATATTGGTTTCCTTAGCTTCATGCTTGGACTCCTGCACTAAACTCCAGTATATCTTCTGCCATTCTGTCTGAGTGACCTTCTTGCCCTCCTGCTTGAACTGCTTCACTTTCTCCTGCAATTTCTGCTTCTGGATCTCCTCAATGCGTTTCTGTATTTCTTCAAAAATCTCACTGGAGAAGTGTGCTCCTTCATTTTCCTCCACCATCTCCTCTACTTTACTGATCAGGTCTTTAAACTGGGGGAAACTGGCAGACTTATTGTCCAAACAGAGGAATCGCTTCCCACAACTCTCCACAAGTTCTTTAAGACCTGGATCGCTGTCCTGTAGGAACTGCTCGATGGTTTTTTTTTCCTCTAACTGATCTTTGTGAGTGAAGATGATCATGGAGTATTTCTCCATCTGTTCTCCAAACACCTCTTTCAGCTGCTGTATTGTGTTTTTCTCTTCTTCAGTGAATCTGCCCACTTTAATCACAATAATGAAAGCGTGTGGACCAGGAGAAGCGTAAGTTATGCATTTGGCTATTTCTGTAATGATCTCCTTTTCACTCAGTTCAGTGTCATACAGTCCAGGAGTGTCGATGACGGAGATCTGCTTACTGCTCCTCAGTCTAGTTTCTGTCTGGCACAGTTTGGTCTGAGAGCGTGAACTGCTGGTAGATTTGAAGCGGTTTTTGCCGATGATGGTGTTGGCGGTGGCACTTTTCCCCACTCCAGTTTTTCCCAGCAGAACCAGTCTGACCTCTTTTTCACCTTCAGGAACCTGAAGCTCATCTGACTGTTCTCCAGCTGAACTTGCTCCTAAAACTACAAAAATACCACCAATGTCAAATTATCAGCAGTGATGGTTCCATGAAAAAGCTTTAACAATCATGCATTTTAGTGCACAAATGAGTCTTAATAACTGAAAAAAGGCTCTTAAGCACTGCAAGGTTCTTTAAAGAAAGAAGATTGGTTCCTTGGCATCACTGCAAAATCCATTTGAAACCTTTATGTTGAAAACAGTGCTGTCAATTGATTAAAAAAAAATAACTAATTAATCGCACTTTTTTTAAAAGACTTTATCTTGATTAATCGCATTTAAAATACTGAAAATTTTGGCTATTCAAATGTAAAATCTATGTAAACGCAAGAAAAAAATATTTAAATTCAAAATATAATTGTTTATTAGAATTAAAATTCAAAATATTATTGTTTAATAGAATTTTTGTTTAACTTGTAACACAGATTTCTTCATGTAAACAACATACCCACAATAAACCATCAAGATCCTGCTTGACAGCCATATTTATTACAGAAATAAAAACACAGGCATGTTAATGTCATTTAAATTTCAAAACAATCAATGCCAATAAAGAAAACATTGATTTCCATGTTGGATTCTTAGTGGACTGCAAAAAAATGCCAAAATACAGGAATTGCAGATATGGAAAATGAAAAATTATAATAATAAACTATAGAATACAAACTGTTGCACTCATTGTAAAGTTTTATTGCTGTGAGTTGAGAACATTAGTTATAGAGTAAAAACAATTTAGCTTAATCTTTCGTTGCATTAAATGTGGAAACACGCTAAACTTGGAGGGCTCATGCTGAAAGGCAGAGTAATGCCCTGTCTTTGACAGCTCGCGACTTCACCAGAGACGTTTTGAGCACATCCATATAAAACACCAAAACTCCGATTTTAATATGATTAAGAAAATACTCTTATTAAAATTCTACCGTGTAGCCTAAGCAGTGATTTTATTACCTTAAAGGAACACCGAGTCACGAAATGCGGAGGATTTCTTTCTGTTCGCCATGCGGTATCAACTTTCAACAGAAGTCGAAAGTTAAAAATGAAACACCCGAAATTGCTTGAAACTCTGAAGAGCCTGGTGATGCGACATTAATTGTTTAATACTAAAACTTGCCTTCAAAGAGTGCTTCCTTGGTTGGTCTTATCCAACATTTCTTGCACATTTCTTGAACACACGTCCACCACAACAGGAAGTAAAAAAAAAACCTGCAACTGCGTTTATTGCGTAAATTTTTTTTAACGCGTTAATTATTTAAAATTAATCGCATGCGTTAACGCACTAATTTTGACAGCGCTAGTTTAAAAGTTTAATAAGAGTGGTAGTGAGACAGTAACTACTGAAATAAAGACAAAATTAAATGATCTTGATTTAGAGTTTGAACACTTGTGCCCCAACTCTCCATGTGCTTCCAGAAGAGGGTTTCACAGTGATGCCACAGAACTTATACTTTTGGTTACTCAATCATTTTTAGAAAAAACGGTTAATAAACATGAGGAACTTCCATCTTAAAGAACATCGTGTGGGATAAAAAGGATTCTTAAATGTTCTTTAAGTAAACATCAATGTCTTCACATCAATAACTTTTATTTTTAGAGTTTGTATTAAAGGCACAGTATCTAATTTTGGCCACTAGAGGGTGTGTATTGACAACAAACAAAGGCTTATTTTAATGACTGTGTGGCTGAGTGTGGTATCATGCGAGTTGTGATCATCTACAAACATTCTTTTCTCCATATGCACTGCATACTTAAACGCCATCCTACAAGGACAAATGTTTACATGTGAATGCACCACAAATCATGTTGAGCTACTTGTTTTCATCAACATTAAATGCCTCTTATGCACAATATCTGGCACAATATTGTTCTGTCTCAAGGCAGTTTTATACTTCTGCAGCAAGCACATGCATATGATCCATACCTGTCAACATCTATGCTCCCCCCCTCTCTTAAAAATCCTATTGTAAATAAACAGTTAAATAGTCAGTAATATGTTTTTTTGTTATTTACAAAAAAATATAGTATACATAAGTAGCAAATACATTAGCATACAGTTCAGCTTATCAAAATGTATAGCTATTATAATGAAATAGAACCAAGTTATCAAATCTAATTAGCCGTTTCGTCACTGTATAATGTACACATTCTGATTAAAGAGCCAAGAAAGAATCTCTTATTTATTTAGATTTTTTTAGTTTGATTGCATTAAATAACAGGTGTCACTTTACTCATGCACACATCCAGGGCTGGAGCAAGCTGAACTGCCGTTCCAGGCAAAGGACGGTAACGCCGCCCTCAAGTGAAAGTCTCCCTCTCTATTCTGCCACCCTAAACGCGGCTATAACTGAGGGCACGGGTGGTGAGGGTAGTTTCGTGGATGCCGCCCTCTATATTCTGCCGCCCTAGACGCGGATATAACAGGGTGCGGGTGGTGAGGGTAGTGTCGCTGACGCCGCCCTCTCTATTCTGCCACCCTAGATGCGGATATAACTGAGCGCGGGTGGTGAGGGTAGTGTTGCGGACGCTGCCCTCTCTATTCTGCCGTCCGAGACACGCTCTCTATTCTGCCGTCTTAGATGCCCTCTCTATTCTGCTGTCCTAGACGCGGATATAACTGAAGGCGCGGGTGGTGAGGGTAATGTCGCAGACGCCTCCTAGACGCGGATATAACTGAGGGCGCGGGTGGTGAGGGTAATGTCGCGGACGCCCCCTAGATGCGGATATAACTGAGGGCGCGAGAGGTGAGGGTAGTGTCAGGGACACCCCCTAGACGCGGATATAACTGAGGGCGCGAGAGGTGAGGGTAGTGTCAGGGACGCCCCCTAGACGCGGATATAACTGAGGGCGCGGGTGGTGAGGGTAATGTCGCAGACGCCCCCTAGATGCGGATATAACTGAGGGCGCGAGAGGTGAGGGTAGTGTCAGGGACGCCCCCTAGACGGGGATATAACTGTGGGCGCAAGAGGTGAGGGTAGTGTTGCAGACGCCCCCTAGACGCGGATATAACTGAGGGCGCAAGAGGTGAGGGTAATGTCGCGGACGCCCCCTAGACGCGGATATAACTGAGGGCGCAAGAGGTGAGGGTAGTTTCGCGGACGCCCCCTAGATGCGGATATAACTGAGGGCGCGAGAGGTGAGGGTAGTGTCGGTGGACGCCGCCCTCTCTAGACGCGGATATAACTGGGGGCGCAAGAGGTGAGGGTAGTGTCGCGGACGCCCCCTAGACGCGGATATAACTGAGGGCACGGGTGGTGAGGGAAATGTCGCGGACGCCCCCTAGACGCGGATATAACTGAGGGCACGGGTGGTGAGGGAAATGTCGCAGACGCCCCCTAGACGCGGATATAACTGAGGGCGCAAGAGGTGAGGGTAGTTTCGCGGACGGCCCCTAGATGCGGATATAACTGAGGGCGCGAGAGGTGAGGGTAGTGTCGGTGGACGCCGCCCTCTCTAGACGCGGATATAACTGGGGGCGCAAGAGGTGAGGGTAGTGTCGCGGACGCCCCCTAGACGCGGATATAACTGAGGGCACGGGTGGTGAGGGAAATGTCGCAGACGCCCCCTAGACGCGGATATAACTGAGGGCGCAAGAGGTGAGGGTAGTGTCGCGGACGCCCCCTAGACGCGGATATAACTGAGGGCACGGGTGGTGAGGGTAATGTCTTGGACGCCCCCTAGATGCGGATATAACTGAGGGCGCAAGAGGTGAGGGTAGTGTCGGTGGACGCCGCCCTCTCTAGACGCGGATATAACTGAGAGTGCGAGATGTGAGGGTAGTGTCGGGGACGCCGCCCTCTCTATTCTGCCACCTTAGGCGGCTGCCTAGGTCGCCTCTATAGACGCGCCGGCCCTGCACACATCTAACATTATAATGCAAGCATTCGACTGCTTTCCTAATTTATAATGCTTATTTAGAACAAAATTAGCTGTGTTTGAAAAAAAAAACAACTAGATCAACATCTTTAGATATTATTATTATTAATTATGTGTATATGTCTGTTTAAACACGAATTCAAAACCTAGACTTTCACTCCGCTTCAAATCGCGTGTACAGAATCAGTTTGTTAAACAGCGTTTGTTTATCACTATGGAGAGCGTCAGCTGACAGTCATGCACCATTATATGACTGTTTTGAGGATTGTATATAAAGGGGCGATGGCACCTGTAATCAAAAGGAAGGGAATCCTGCCGTTTTTATATTTATTTCAAAGTGTTTTCAGGCCTAAACAAAGCGAAAGCACAGAACAGACTAAAATTTAAGAGCAAGGGGCGGCCCCTGGTGGTTCGGCGGTATGGGTTGTGCACAGGGAGGATTGGCTCTTTAATGTTTATCGCCACCCTTCAGTGAAAAACTGAAAAAACAGGAGAACTACGGGAAAATACTTTCACGAGATGATAGTGGGATAGAACTGTAAAATACGGGAGATTCCTATTACTTGATTTGCTCAACGATGACTTCTGAATTGTGCTCTATCCGTTGAGCAACAGTATGTTTATTAAAAAGTTATTTTAAAAATCTGAAAAATTAACATTACATACCTTTTAATTAATACATTTAATAGATATTTGCTTTTTTGTAGCTCATGAATACATCTTATGATATTTGTAATATTAGGGCTGCAGTCAATAATTTAAAATATTGTCGCAATTTTACAGCTAAAGACCAAACCGTTACAATTGTAATGGAAATTCATTTTTAGATGAGCTTTATATGTTAGAAACTTGTCTAAGACTCATTATTACATTTGTGTGTATCTGTGTTCTCCATATGTTCATCATAAAACCTATGTGTGTACATTTTTATAGATAACTATATTACTTTAGGTGAAAGCTTTTTCATTATCCTAAGAAGGATGTGTGGTTGTTATGAGTATATCGCACGAACAGCAGAAAACGCCTGACGTAATTGTAGATGAGGCCTTATTGGGAGTTGACCTCGTAAGCAGTACAAACCAGATAAAAGGGTGAACACACTTGGCTTTAGTATCTCACTCTGCAGAAACTGTTGTTGCTGTATGACTGTGATCTTCTTTATAAAGAATAAAACTTGTAAAAGACATCCCGGGTAAGACTTTGTTTCTTGACCACTGAGAGAGCCTCCTTAGAGAAAATAGCCACTACAATTTCATGGGTGGAGTTTACGGATTGTACCACAACACAAGCATGAGGTGACTGCGTCTAGATTGCGAGTGTTTTTTTTGAGGAATACAATGTTGATCAGGTAGCCTTTCAGGTGCTGTCATCAGTGGGTTAATGAGCTCAGGAGAATTCTGCTTTGCATCTTTCTATGCATTACTAACATTACTAAACCAGACAACCTGTCTACAACCCAGCCATGTAGACAGAAGACACTGCAACCAATTGTTTCAATGTAAAAAAAAAAAAAAAGTTATTATGGTCCTGCTCATGCGGGTATTCATGTTCATTTTCATCAATCTAACGCAACTTTTATTATTTACAAGAACAGAATATTAATTAAAAGTTTCAGTTCAATTAAACTCAAATTATAAAAAGACTAGCCTATTTTATGCATTAAAAAATAACATATAGGCTATAACTAATTTCCTTTATTTCCTTTATTAGACCATGCACTTTAGTCTGTTTTACAGTTTTAATATGTATATATGCTTTTTTAAATAACATTCGTTTAATACATATTTTAGCACATCGAAAGTAATTAAATTACCTGTCTTTATGCAAAGGATCAGGAATTGGTTGCCACATTTGAGGATAAATTCACGTCTGAGTGCTGCTTTTGATGGAATAAATTGACTAAAAACACATTAAAAACTATACACATAAAATAAAACATTCATAAAGGTGTATCTTTCTACCAATTGACGGACTCTGCTTTCGGTTTTAAAAGAATCAAGCAAATTTTAAAAAATCTAATTTGCTGAAGAGAAATGACAGGAAAAAAGAAAAAAGATTAAACATATCAGGACTGTTTAAAGAACACTCTACTTTAATATATTCTTCTGACTCCAATACAACAGCTCAGATTATGCATGACAGAGTGTACAGCTGTCTATCCTGCATGCTTCAGCAGCGTGTCGCACTGTTTATGAATGAAGAGGTGGAGAGAATGGGCTGTTTCACCTCAAGATATTTAAATAAAAAACTAATACTAAACTGCTCATCACGCTCAAAAGGTTAAACTAAATTGCACAACTCTTGTTGGCTGCACCCGCGGGATGCACAATGAACCTAACGCGCCATTTTAATTTGATATATTCATATGTGAACCAACCGCAGATGCTGTGTCTTCAATGAAACTTATTTGACAAAAAAAATGCTTTTTTAATGGAAATTCAGACAATCTGACAGCTGGGACAGAACACTGGAAATGGAGTGTGTTTATTAGCATGAACACACAAACTCCATCCACCAGTTCTCTGCATCAGAATAATCTCACATATTTGGCGTAATTTAAGCACGCAAGTCAGCAAAATATATACCACTGTTCTAGCATTTTCTGGAGGATTTAAGTAAATAATCTTACAAATGTGATTGTGAAATGTGAATTTAAAGTAACAAAAATAAAAATACTTACAACTAATAATTTTGTCCTTGCTGTTGGTCCTTCTCATGTGCTTGATAAAGTTCCCTCCGTTCCCCTCCACTAATCTCTCAATCTTCTGCAGCAGATCATTTACCTGATCTCCTGATTTACAGTTGTTGTCAAAACAGTGAAATCTTCCTTCACATTCAGTCACCAGCCGCTGGAGATCTGCGTGATTTTGGAGATATTGCTCATTGCTCAGTGGTTCATCCAGATTCTCAAGCTCATCCTCATGTGTGAACAGGATCATGATGTACTTCTGCACTTCAGGATCAAACAGACGCTTAATATAGTCCAGCATCTCCTCTTCATTCTGCAGTGGTTCCTCCAGAGGAACGGTGAGCAGAACTGAACTGAGACCTGCTGAACATGCAGACAGCAGCTGCTCCTCCAGTTTCTGCAGTTTATCTTTATCCACATCTGGATCCAGCAGATCTGGACAGTCCAGCACATCAACCTGCATTCCTCTGATCTTAGTGTCAGACTTACACACTTCAGACTCATGTTTCTTATTTTGTTTGTAGACTTTAAACTTCTTGTTTCCCAGGATGGTGTTTCCAGATGAGCTTTTCCCAGAACCCTTCCTGCCCACCAGGAGAATCCTCATCACTGGATCATCTGGACGAGCTGATACATATGAAAAAGACAGATAATATGGAGAATTCTGTATAAATGTCAATTATTTAATTACACAATCATGTATTAAAGGACAAATTTTTTAACGATGTTAAGCGGTAAATACCCACAAAACATACTTGTTAACCCTCCCGTTTTTCCCGGGATTCTCTCGTATTTTACAGTTCTATCCCACTATTATCCCGTAAAGGTATTTTCCCGTACTTCTCCCGTGTTTTCAGTCTTTCTCTGAAGGGTGGCAAATAAAAATTAAAGAGCCGATCCTCCCTATACACGACTTATACTGCGGGTGCAAATTCTGATCAGCGGTCTTGTCGCGCGCATACTTGAGAGCGCTGTTGTCGCGTGCCTAACGTAACGAAGGGCGGGAGGGGATGTCGCGGGGGCACTTTTGATCATTTTGGAAGGGCACTTTCTATCCAAGACTGAAAAGGGCATGTGCACTGCACAGGTTTAGCCCTATGTGTGCATGTGCCTGAGTGGGAGACATGAGGGAGAAGTTAAAAGCGCTCATTTGGACCCAAGAAATGGAGAGAAAACTCATGGAGGTTTGAAATTAGTTTATTATCAACTTAAGTTGAGGAAAAATTGCTAATTCCCTTCCAACCCAGGTGAGCAAATATGTACATTTTCTACCCCATTAAAGGCTTTTTTCTCATTATGTAGTTAATAACAAAAGATATACGTCGTGTTTTTGGCTGTGAGACGTAGTTTGAATGAAGTTGTCGGCGATTCTTCCTATTGTACAGTCATGCAATGTTAAATCCCTGTCGCCAATCCATCTTGCAGTGTAAACAATACAGCAACGAAACGCAAGCAGTCTGAACTCGGCATTAGGCAGGAAAACACTTTAAAATGACCATAAAAACTGCTCGATTCCCCTTCATTTTCATTACAAGTGTCATCTCCCCTTCATATGCAATCCTCAAAACAGTCATATTGCGGTGCGTGACTGTCAGCTGACGTGCTCCATAGTGATAAACAGATGCTGTTTCCCAAACGGATTCTGCACTCGTGATTTGAAGCGGAGCAAATGTCTGGGTTTTGGGTGCGTGTTAAACAGACATATACACATAATTAATAATAATAATAATATCTAAAGATAACGATGACATCGATGAGATTTTGCTGTTTTTTTTTGTTTTTTTTTTTCAAAAATTAAATTTCATACTAAATGAGCATAAAAAGTTAGGAAAGCAGTCGAATGCTTTAATTATAATGCTAGATGTGTACATTTTTAAAGTGCACTATTATTTAATGTAATCAAACGAAAAAAGTCTGAATAAATAAATTCATTTTTTGCTCTTTATTCAGAATGTGCATGTTACACAGTGAAGAAACAGCTAATGAGATTTGATTCTATTTCATTATAATAGCTGTTAATTTTAATAAGCTGAACTGTTTGCTAATGTATTTGCAGCTAATGTATACTATTTATTTTTTATTTTATTATTTATATTTTTATTTTATGTAAATAATAATTTTAAAACATATTACGGACCATTTATTTACAATGAAACAGCTCCAACTGAGCATATTTAGTAATTTGGGGATTTTTTAAAAGGGGGTCGGGGGAATCCCTTATTATGGTGGGCATATCCCTTATTTTCACATACCAATGTTGATAGGTATGACACCAGCTATTATGATTCACTAATGTAATTATTGTTAATGACATAGCCTAAAAATATTTCTGTGTATAATTACTGAAACTCTTTATTTAATAAATGTGTATATCCAGTAAAATAATGTGCCTATTTAAATGTGAAGGCATTTTGTGGAAGACTCCCTCCTCCTCCAACATTGATTACTTGCAGCATTTCATGCAGCAGATTACTGTGATTATCTATATATATATATATATATATATATATATATATATATATATATATATATATATATATATATATATATATATATATATATAAGCTAAATAAACAAATTAATAAATAAAGTGTCTGGTTCATCTTTGCAATCACTTAAATGTTTGGATTAAAACTTTAACAGTACTCAATGTTGCTGATACACGCGAGGGTTTATATTTCTCTTTTAAAGGCGTAGCCGGCTATAAAACCTGATCGAGGCTAAGTCCAGAAGTCCATTATATCTGCTCGTTTTATAAGAGAAGTGTTTGAAAGTATTAGTAAACATATATTTTTTAGCAAATATATATATATTTACCAAATAATTAATAAATAATTGGCCAAAATAGCGGGGAAAAACAAAAATGTAATCAGTAAATAATGCGGTAATTGGGGGAATGTGTTTTGTATTGCACATAACGTGTACTAATTTGTTTAAAACATATAGTTTAACAATTTTAAATGGAAATTTGATGTGCGTTTGCACACTTGGCGAATAGAGGAGCTCATTCTGAATTTTTACCGTCAAACAGCGTTTTGTGAGTGGAATTTAAAAAAAAAATCCTGTCATGTCGCCATTCTTACCTGGCTTTCTTTTTGTCCACGTTGCCATTTTCTCCACACATGAGCGCGGGAAATGCTTCCTAAAACCAAATATAGGCTATTCAAAACACGACCACAACATTGACACAAGTCCGACTGTCATTGTTTAGAAATAAATAAAATACCTTTTGCATAAAAATGATAGCAAGAAATCAAATGTAAACTCACCACAAGTCGATCTGCTGTTCAAAGTTTACTTCAGATTACTCACTGCAGTGACGTCGCGTTTATTACTGATTAACCTGAATAACATTTCAAGGTCTTTCAGAAAAAAGAACGAGCGGGAGTTCAGAGCAAACAAATCACTCACATGACAAAACATTATAGTAACGAACATCTACAGTGCACATTTGACAATACACTAGTTTACCATAGTAAAAAGTATACTACAGTAGGCTATTTATTAGTTTATCAGTTCCGTATAGTAAATACTAGGCGGCAGTGGAGCCATTAATATCAAAGTGTTGCAAGTACTATAATATATAGTGCAGTACACTTTAGTACTGTTCAAAAACACCAGTATTTTCTATAAATGACTACAGTATTATTCTATATGACCTTGAAGAGCTAAACACACAACCTCAATAAACTGAACAGAACCGCAGAGTTTGCTCAATAAACTTTATTCATTTGATCAATATTAATTTCTCCAGCTGATGATGAACAGATATAATAACAGTCGCGTGATCAGATGATGATGAATGAAAGCGCCTCGGGCTCTGAATAAAGCAGTTTGATTCTCTCCTACACACACTTTATTTGATCAGAGCAGAAGATGAAGAAGCAAAGCGGAAACACACACTGATCTCACATCCATTCACACTCATTGTCAGAGATTCCCTCATGGCAGTGCAGATCTGATCTCAAGACAGATCATCAACATTCATCTCATACTCAAACACACGCTGATTGATTCTCTCTCAAACACACACATACACTAAATGTTCTATACTATAATGGCTGTAAAGAAAGCACAGAGATGTGAATCGCCCACAGTTCTCCTCTTATTATTCTATAAAGTACCCTGGAATAAAGCCTCTCTTCAATCTAAATACTCTGAATATCTTGTAGAGGAACTTCATCAATGTTTGAAATCACATTATCAAAACAGATTAAGTGTTGAACATATCCAAATAGCAGTGTCCAAAACACCTTAGCCATGGTGACCACGCCCACTGATCTAACCACACCCACCCAGACTCCTCCCACACACACATAACCCTCTCTAAAAGGGATAGTTCACACAAAAATGAAAATAGCATCACTTACTCAGCCTTTACTTGTGTGAGACCTGTTTGAAATAATTGAATTACTTGTTGAATACTAAACACACTACTTAAAGAATGCTGAAAACCTGTAACCATTGACTTCCATAGTATTTGTTTTTCCAACAATGGAAGTTAATGGTTACGGGTTTATTAGCTTACTTTAAAATAGTAGTGTTCAACAGAAGGTTTGAAACCCCTTGAGGACGAGTAAATAGTGAGTAAATTTGTATTTTTGTATGAACTATCCCTTTACCTCCCCTATTGACAAAAACATTGTGACCCCACCCACCCAAACTCCTCCTATACATTAGCCACACCCTCTTTTAACTCATGTATAGTAAAGAACCTCATGACCAGACCCACAGACTCCTCCCACTTATCTAAAAACACCTACCCTTCAAAGACACCTCCCACTGGCTTAACCACACCCACATTTAACTTATATGACCAAACAGCAAACCCCGCCTACAGACTCCTCCCTCCAGTGAATCTGGTCATGCGCCCGCCCACAAACAGACTCCTCCCCCATCCCTGGCTTCCTTTCCTAAATCCAACAGGCTCCAGCAAAGCCCTTGTGACCCCGCCCACACTCAGACTCCTCCCCTGAATCCACACAGACTGAAATAATCCCCCTCCCCGATACAGGCTCCTCCCTCTCACTCCCACAGACTCCAGTAATGCCCTCATGACCCCGCCCCTACAGACTCTGAAAACCTCCTTGTGACCCTGCCCACATCAGACTCCTCCCCCTGTAGCCCAGACTACAGTAATCCCCCGTGACCCTGCCCACACAGACTTCTCCCCCTTCCATGACTCTTCCCCCTGAAGCTCACACACTCCAGTAAACAGCTTATGACCCCATCCCTGACTCCACACAAACTTCAGTAAACCCCCGCCCCCACACAGACTCCTCCCACTAAAGCCCAAACAAACTAGCATACCTCTCGTTACACTACTCCCCCATCCCAGACTCCTCCTCAGGTGGCCCAGACTCCAGCAAACCCCCCTCGTGACCCCGCCCCCATACAGACTCCTCCCCTAAAGGCTAAACAAAGTAGTATACTCCTTGTGACCCCGCCCCATACAGACTCCTCCCCTAAAGGCTAAACAAAGTAGTATACTCCTTGTGACCCTGTCCCCCCACCTAGACTACTCCTGCTGTAGCCCACACAGACTCCAGTTAACCCCCTCGTGACCCCACCCCCACCCTGACTCCTCCCCCTGCAGCCTGCCCAGATCTCCAACACACACACACACACAGCAGTGGTGGGTGACTCTGCAGCGTGTGTGTGGATGGAGGACTCAGTGTAAACGCTGCGGCGGCCCGTGTCGGACTCTCCCTGATAGTGTGTGAAGGTCTGGAGCTCGTCATCACAGCTCGTTGCGCGAGCGAGAGATGCGCGGCCCTTTGCGGATCTCTTTCCTCTTCTCCTCCTTCCTCCTCCTCTTCTCCTCCTCACGCAGAATCTTCTGGAAGGCCTCGGCCGTCTGCAGCACCTGATGCACAGAGGGAAGGAGTCTGCTTAAAACACTACTGAAGGTCAGAGCAGAAGTATGAGGCGCCAGAGTGGACAAAAGCCAAGTGAAAGCACAGAGGCCGAGTGTGCGCGAGGTAGACCCATGTGCGCACGAGAGAGACCAAATGTGTGCGGTAGGCCAAGCGTGCGCGAGGTAGAGGCCGAGTGTGTGTAAGGTAGACCCATGTGCGCATGAAAGAGACAGAGTGTGCATGCAAGACCGATTGTGCGCGAGAGAGACCAAATGTGCGCGGTAGGCCGAGTGTGCGCAAGGTAGACCCATGTGCGCGCGAGATAGATCAAGTGTGCGAGCGGTAGACCGGAGTGCACGCTAGAGAGACCAAATGTGCGCAGTGGGCCAAGTGTGTGTGAGGTCGACCCATGTGCATGCGAGAGAGACCGAGTTTGCGAATGAGACCGATTGTGCGCGAGAGAGACCAAATGTGCGCGGTGGGCCGAGTGTGCGAATGGTAGACCGGAGTGCGCACGAGACAGACCAAATGTGCGTGGTGGGCCAAGTGTGTGCGAGGTAGACCCATGTGCCCGCGAGAGGGAACGATTGTGCACGCGAGAGTGACCAAATGTTCGCAGTAGACAGAGTGTGCACACTGTAGATCGAGTGTGTGCGCCAGAGACCGAGTGTGCGCGAGAGACTGTGTGTGTGCACAGTAGAGAGAGTGTGCACGAGGTAGACCGATGTGTGCACGGTAGACTGAGTGTGCACGCTGGGAAGGCCGAATGTGTGCAAAGTAAACCAAGTGTTTGCGCATATGTTTGAGTGTGTATGCTTGTGTACACGTACTGGCCACTTTATTAGGTACACCTCACCAGTACCGGGTCGGACTGCCTTTTTGCCTTCAGAACTGCCTTAATCCTTTATGGCAGAGATTCAGCAAGCTGCTGGAAATATTCCTCAGAGATTTTGCTCCATATTGTCATGATAGCATCACACAGTTGCTGCAGATTTGTCGGCTGCACATCCATGATGCCAATCTCCCGTTCCACCACATCCCAAAGCTGCTCTATTGGATTGAGCTCTGGTGACTGTGGAGGCCATTTGAGTACAGTGAACTCATCGTCATGTTCACCAGTCTGAGATGATTGAGCTTTATGACATGCTGCGTTATCCTGCTGGAAGTAGCCATCAGAAGATGGAGACACTGTGCTCATAAAGGGATGGACATGGTCAGCAGCAATACTCAGGTAGGCTGTGGCGTTGATGCTCAATTGGTACTAATGGAGCCAAAGAAAATCTCCCCCACACCATTACACCACCACCACCAGCCTGAACCACTGATACAAGGCAGGATGATCCATGCTTTCATGTTGTTGAGGCCAAATTGTGAGCCGAGCATCTGAATGTAGCAGCAGAAATGGAGACTCATCAGAGCAGCAACGTTTCTCCAATCTTCTATTGTCCAGTTTTGGTGAGTCTGTGTGAATTGTAGCCTCAGTTTCCTGTTCTTAGCTGACAGGAGCGGCACCCGGTGTGCTCTTCTGCTGCTGTAGCCCATCCGCCTCAAGGTTGGACGTGTTGTGTGTTCAGAGATGCTCTTCTGCAGAGCTCGGTTGTAGCGAGTGCTTATTTGAGTTACTGTTGCCTTTCTATCAGCTGGAGCCAGTCTGGCCATTCTCCTCTGGCCTCATCAACAAGGCATTTGCGCCCACAGAACTGCCGCTCACTGGATATTTCCTCTTTGTCGGAGCATTCTCTGTAAAGCCTAGAGATGGTTGTGCGTGAAAATCCCAGTAGATCAGCAGTTTCTGAAATACTCAGAGCAGCCCGTCTGGCAGCAAGAACCATGCCACAGTCAAAGTCTCTTAAATCCCCTTTCTTCCCCATTTTGATGCTCGCTTTGAACTGCAGCAGATTGTCTTGACCATGTCTACATGCCTAAATGCAGTGAGCTGGTGCCATGTGATTGGCTGATTAGACATTTGCTTTAACGAGCAGTAGGACAGGTGTACCTAATAAAGTGCCCTGTGAGTGTGTGTTTATGGAGTGTAAATCCATGCATGAGGGTTTATGCATTTGTGCAGGTGTTTGTGTATTTATGTCTGTGTGTGTTTGTTTGTTTGTTTGTTTGTTTGTGCGCGTGTATGTCCAAGTGTGTGTGTGTATGTGTTTTAAGTGTGTCCATTCATGCGTGTGAAACTCACATCGTCTCGTTCTGTCCTGTATGGATTGACGAAGTCTGCAGATTTCTCTGTGATCCCCAGCTCCTGTGACATCTGAACACACACACACACACATATACACACACACACACACACACACACACACACAGGTCAGTAATCCAGACTGTATATGATGCTGATGCTGACAGTGTAATCCCCCATGATGCCCTGCTCTGACCAGTGTGAGCACGTGCTGGTGTGCTCCTCCGCTGAAGACCCCGGTGTGGTTGCAGAAGCTCAGACCCCAGCGCAGCAACACACTCCAGTCTGCGTTACGCTCGTAATAATGGTGCACGATGCGCGGGAAACGCAGAGCCACGTCACCGAAGAACGCCGTGTTCTCCACCACGTGAGAGTACGCTGCACACACACACACACACACACATTAAAATGCACAGAAAATGATTAAAGTGACACAAAATCTTACACACACACACACACACACACACACACACACACACACACACACAGTTTCTCACCTTCTTTGAGTTTGTCGTCGAGTGGGAACGGGTCGTCAGGCCGCATGTTAGCAGCTATAAGCACAGCTCTGGAGTCCTCCAGCACCTGAACACACACACACACTGATGTTTGTACTGTACAGACTGTACACAGCAAACACATTTACATCTTCACACTCCTGCAGTCTGGCTGATTTATGGGCTGTTTTCCTCATGATGAGCACACAGTGTGATGAAAATCTCTCACTCACACACACACACACACACACACACACACACACACACACAGACCTTGAAGAGGCCCTTGAGCATGATGTCGATGATCTTGTACTGCTGGTTGACGTCGTTGAGCTCCACCAGATTCTTCAGAGCGTTCAGCTGATCTTTCCTCTTTGTCTCGAACAGACGCTTATCTGACGGAGGA